AAACTCCTGGAGATAGCCATCCACCTGACTGTGATCTCTTGGCATCCGGGGCATCTGCACCTGATGACCCTACAGAAAGAAATGATACACCATTCCAAGTCACCCTTTTAGCACCGCATTGTGCATGAATCAACAGTACACCCCATAGGAGCCCCATGATGTCATTTCATCTTCCTGTGCCCCCCCACACACACACACCATGCCTATTGGTAGCTTCTAGCCTTGTGTGCTGTGCCAAGGAAAATGCAGTGACAGGCTTCTCTGTCTTTTGGTAGAACTTTTACATGCAGGCATCCCTTGAAAACCCAAGCTACCTACTGAAGATGAATGTAAACCTTCAAGATGATTTTAAGTAATTTAAAAGAAAACATCATTTCACACCTTGGAAGTTTATAAAGAATTGTATAGTCATCCCTTGGTATCCATGGAGACTGTTTCTAGAATAAACGCCTCACTATGGTTATGCAGCTCTGCAGATTCCCAAGTTGCTTGTGTAAAAGGTCATAATATTAGAATATAGCATAATCATATCTTTTTATATAATTGAAATAATTACTATATTATTTATAATGTCTAATAAAATGTAAATGCCATCTAAGTAATTCTTATACTATATTGTGTAGATAATCATTGCAAGAAAAACATCTTGCATGTATTCTCTAGAAATGTAATCACTCCACCTCCACCCCCAGACAGTGTCCATCTGTGATCGATTGAGCCAATGGATGCAAGACCTAGGAATGTAGAGGGTCAACTATAGATGCATTTTCCAGTCAACATGTTTGCTAGGCATGCAGACTTCTAGCATTGAAGTCCCAGCATTATACAGTACAACCCTAACCTTCCAATGATCTACCCTTCATTCATTTGCTTTATTGGTATATGGAAGCTTCCTCCTCCTAATGATCAACTTCTAGCTATATCTACCATGGGAATACAGGAGCCCCAAAGTAAGAACTTCCCACCCTAAACTAGCCACCATTTGTCAATACCCCTTTCTTGGGACGAGGTCCAGTCACATTCCAAAATGACTGGCCTGAACCAGATCCAGCAGGTTTTTGCTCTGCCCTTGGACGTCTTTGGATTCCTCCCAGTGACCGGGACCCACGTTCCATCATTTCTAGAAAGAAGAACAGAGACTGCTATGAATACTGCTTTAAAGGTTTTACCAGAACTTTCTGGGTACTGAAAACAGCAGAAATCACTCAATACCCATTCACTTCTGATGCTCAGCCTATTTGTCCATCTGTTCAACAGGTCAGTATGTATTTACTGAAAATCTGGCCCTGGGCCTAGGATTCTGTAGCATGAGCAATGATCAAGAGATGAAATCCCAAACACAAACCATCTCTATGTATGAGAGAATAGGAAATACCAATAATAAAATCTTCCATCCATGTAAATTCAGATATGTAAATGGTTCATGAATGATTAAAAACCAAAACAAGCTAATATTGCAAAAGAAAAGCATAAATCAACACTGAAATACCTAAAACAAACGAATAACCTTCCAGACTAAGTAAACAGCATGCACAATGACTGGGATGTTGTAGAAGCAGCACAAGTAAACGCACATGATTAACTATACCCAACAGGCTTTTTAGGGGATTCTCACCTGACATCACTGGTTGTTCTTGGCTTTGGTCAAAGTTTCCAGTCCCTAGATCTTCAGAAATGGACATTTTATACCCTTCTTTGACATTGGAAGAACTTGCTGCCATCACCACCAGGTATTCATTTGTAAGGTTGTTCAGGGTGGATGGCACAGAGAAGACACTTGGAAGCTCGCCTCTTCCAGGGGTAGAAATGTGAGGGAGATATACTGGCACAAGAGGGTGGAGCCAGTTCTCCCTCTCTGTGCTCAGGCCTTGGATTGGCACCTTGAGTTCCCACTGTATCTTGTTGGTGGGTCTCGTGGCCGCCTTCTCTTCTGCTGTGTAAGCAACTTGGAGATGAGATAGTGCTCTAAGTGGTACTGTTTTTGTGAGCTGCCCTGATTCATCTCCCCTTGATTTTGCTACTCACGGGTAGGAGGATCCCATCCTCCATCATGGTCTAGAAAGAGACAAGGGCTGGCATACGGCCCAAGCATCCATAAGTGCCCAAAGCAGTGACAGGTCCCATGCTTATCATGGTTTCTACAAGCCCATGACTGGCCAGTAATCTAGGGTACAGCACTCTATCAGAGGAGCTTCTCTGTACAGAACATCCTGCCTCCTCCAATGCAGAGTCTTCAAGCAAAGTAGATGGCCTTGTCTGATATGAATCCTGGGAAGGAAGCAGGGAGGGGCAAGAGGGACATGCTGGACTTGTGTACCCTGCTGTATGTTTCAGCTCTGCCTCAGTTTTTCTACAGATTAGACCAGATGTATGTGTCAATTTAGTCAGGTTCTGATCCCCAGTGAGTTTATCAGACACTCAACTCTCAGTATTTCTGCAAAGGCATACTGCAGCTGTGATTATTATCCCTAATGGACTTTAAATAAAATGGCTTCCTCCCAGTCAGGTGCTTGTACTCAACCAATGTGCTGAAAGAATCAAGTGCAAACCTTAAGGAATGGGTCAGTGAGTGGGATGACCCCATGCCCCAAGGTTCCCAGAGAATGAGGGAAACCTGCCACCACAGCCTGCCCTGTCAGGGTGCTGAGAGGCATTGGAACAGCTTCCATAGGCTCACGCCGTCCCGGCGCTCTTGGGCCTTGGACTCGGCACTCCCAAGATGATACAGACAGATCCAGATAAAGAAAAACCTCTAAAGGTTTACACTGCATTTAAAAATATATGTAGGCTTGTGAGAGAAAAAATAACAGGAGGAAATAGAGTAGCTGGTTGTGGTGGTGCACGCCGGTAGGATTTGCTGAAGGAAGCAGAGGCAGGCAGATTTCCACAGAGAAACCCTGTCTCAGAAAAAATAAACGAAAGATAGTAAAAATAAAGTAATAAAAAAGCCACATAAAGACGGAAAATACACAGAGAATCTGGATACTATATGCCATATTGTTCTCTTTAAATTGTTTGATTGCCAAGGAAAGACTTACTGCTGCTAAAATACATTTGATTATAAATGCTGCTAAATTAATCCAACTTATACATTTCAAAAATGTTCTAACTTCAAAATTTAAGATTAAGGACAGGGTACTTAGAAATAAAGGTTTTGCTTGTATTTCCACAGAAAATGAAAAGCTGTTGATTCCTTCAAGACTAATATGGTTTGATCAAGCAAGACCCCCTGAAGCTGAGATGATACAGCCTTACAGACTACAAAAACAAGGACTTGGTCAGGTTTCTATATTTTATCATGATCCCCCAATCAGCAGGAAGCAGTTTAGAAAGAATGACACCCATAGTCCCAAATAGTGTTTATAAATGTTTGTTTTCATTTAAATAGGGTTGGTTATAAATGATAATGAGCATAGTCAATTTTTTAAAGAAAAAAAAGGGAATAGGATATAGGAATGAATACTTTGCATTGGTATAGATTTTCATTTATTGATACAATTTTAAGGTCAATTTTGTGATATGTATATGTCTCCTCTTGTTTAGGTATTGTGTTTATACAGATCTTTTACCTATAATAGTCAGAACTTATAATT